CTCATACCATTTTGTCTGAAACTAGACATTTAGAGTTGCATTCTTTTTTACTTTCCCTTCTTTTTTCAACATAGCATTTAGATGGACAGCCTTGTTGCTTTTCTCATTAATTTCCTTATGAAATAAAAGATCAACTAGCATTTTCCATCTGATCTTTCAAAATGGAAGACCTCTAGGTTTATCCCACTGCTTCAAATCCTCGCTCTCCTTTCTCCTCTTTTATATATTATATGTATAAATTTAATTTTGAAAGTCTCTTCATCTTAAAAAAAAAGAAAGCATTTTCTCTGAGGTTAGGGTAATTGTGGGTTGATTGTTTTATGTTGGGTCCTTCTAGGCTGTAGTTGTTGCGTCATATTGATAATCCTCATCGTTCATAGAGTCAGATGGGAAGTGGAGGTATGGTCTAGTTTCTCAAGGCTCATTCCATTTGTCACATGTAGATTTCTAGCCTTCACTCGCTTTCACTAGAGTTGTAAAATTTTAAAGGGATAAAAGCCAGAGATTTTACTTACAAGTTGATTATTTTAATAACTGTGAAGGTATAAGACTCTTCAGTAAGCTACTGAAAGCTTCATCATTTCTCAATTGTTTTTCCTCCTTCAAAATTCTGTCCACTACAGAATGTAATTTAAAGGCCATTGAGCAGAGAATTCAACAGAGATAGATTATTCCAGAGAAAAAACTGAACAATTCCTTGCTGTGGTACTCTGAGTAGAACCAAATGACTTGCTGTAGCATCAATAATTGCTTCCCCCCCCCCCCATTTATTCACTTTTTTGAAGAAAAAAGCAGTACTTAGAAGTTATGTAACATAAGAGTTTCTTTTTTCCATCAGTACTGGGAACACATAAAATATACCCTACCCCAAAATTGTACACCTAGTGATATATTGTAGAAGAATTCTTATACCTGTTCAGGTGGGTGACCACAAGTATATTTACAGTAGCAATGTTTGTATCCCCCAAATTTGAAACAACCTAATTTACCTTCAGTTGCAGATGGTTAAGTAAATTATGGTGCTTGTGTCCCATGTAATGGTGTGCAGGACTCCAAAAGAATGAGGGGCTTCTGTATCACTGATGGGAAGATCTCTAAAACACATTGATAAATGAGAGGAGAAACAAGACTTGTAGAAAAATATGAGCGGAGTGATTCCATTTATGTTTTTAAAGCCTGTGTTTATATACAGTGTAGGGGTGTGTGCATATGTGGGAAAGAGGAAAAGAAGGAGGGAGGAAAGGAAAGAGAGAGACAGAGAGAGAGGATGAAAATATCAAAGGAAGGTGGTAGTGAGATTTGGTGAGTTGGGTCTATGGAGGAAGGCAGGTGAAAAAGGACTTTGTTTTCCCTGGATTTCTTGAATTATTTACAGTGAAAATATTTTCATGAATAAAAAAGTAAATGCATATATTTGTGTGTGCAAAAAATAAAAGAGAATATTCTAGTCGTTCTTAACAAATTTATCCAGTCGAGGCATTTGCTAGGGAGAATGAGCCCATCCAAGATGGCCTGTTTTAAATTCATCGATGTCAAAGAAACATCAGATCCTTGGCTTAGCATAAACCCACGTGGATAAGGAGAATGGAAAATGATTAAGGAGAGGTGATGGGGAACTGGCTTTTGGTAAATGTAGCATAGACTGCAGTGGTGGCTCAGAAGAATTTACAGAGTGATTAGATGAGGACTAGTGTCACTCCATCATAAGCGTTAGTCTCTGGGCTTTGGTGGAATTTACTGCCGAGGATCAGTTCTTCACCAGCCTCCCCGTTTCTAAAGCACGTGCTCAAATGTAAACAGACTTCAGAACAATAGATTGGAAATAGAGCTGTGGAAAATCCCCTTAGTTTTTCCTTTGTTTACAAACCAGTGCAAGGATGGGTGTGTTTTAAAATGTAGGTTTCATTATTATTCAGGTATAGTGAGCCAGTAGATCAGGAGACAACTGCCATCGGGAAGACAGTTTGTTATACTCACAGGTCCCGAGAGAAAGGGCCATGCCATGCCACAGGTGGCCACATGGGGAAGCACCAGGGCCGGTGAGGAGGCCAAGACAGTGGGAGGAAAATGTGGGGAGAGCCTGTACGGTGGTTTCCACAGAAAGGAATGGGTAAGACAGGGTCAGCAGGCTTCCCTGGCTAGTTGGAATCCTTTTAGTGGGCTCGGGGCATACGGGCTGTCTCTGCTTGTCTGGTACCTGGCCCTGGGCTGATTAAGATGGGGGAACAGTGGCCTGTGGTGCAAGAACTTGATGCAGGTGGTGGTTGAGGGTATGGGCTCTGGATTGGTGGGTTTGCATATGAAAAGTGCACCCACAGACGAGTGAGTCATTTACTATCTGTAGGGGGTTGGGGAAGAGAGAACATGTAATTCGCACTAAACTTGCCCAAAGGATAGCGGAATAAACCAGATAAATAAGAACCAAGACGTGATGTGAAGCCTTGTCTAACCCCACAGTACGGGAGGTTATTTTTAATATGTTCTGGTGGAACCAGGTCCCTTTCTTTTAAGAGGTCTTATCTCAGTTTGCACTCACACGTTAGGAGAGGTCATCATTTGGTGACTATGTAAATCACACATTGGTCTGTAAACTCCCTGAGGGCAGGGACTGTTCCTTTGCTCACCACATCTCCAGCCCCTGAGAGATCTCCTTTCACCGTGCACAGAGGGCCCATGGCTGTCGAAGGAGTGTGGGGAGACAGCTGAGGTCCCGGTGGCCAGGCGGTTGGCCTGAGTGGATCCACGCTCCACTGATACTCGCCGTCTCAGACCTCCAGGGCCTCCACGTCCAGGATCCACCCCCTCGTTCCAGATAGTCCCCCTAGTGCTGTGGATCAGGCTCATCCACTTTCTTCTCTGCTTTTGAAAATCTCCTGGGAAGCCTCATTTTGTTTGAGAGAAGTCTGTTCAGTTTATGTGGTTCGATATAGGATGGCAAAGCACCTCTTTATGCTTTTGGGGGGGCTTTATGTCACTCAAAAGATGTTAATAAATTCCTTTCTTAAAAACCCCTGCTCCACCTTGTCTGTCCAGTCTCTTCCCACTGGGCTACTAAGCAAATCTTTTTAAAAATCAGGCAGAACTTTCTAACCTAACTGCACGCAGTTTTCTTCCCTCTCTGGGCGTTCCTCTTCTGCATAGAGGACGTCCACATCATGTCATTTGGTCTGAGTCACAAACCTCCTTCGCCCCCAAAACAAACACTGCTTCGGTGGTTCCTATACCCACCTTTAACCCTTGTCCTTCTATCCACCCCTCCTTCTCCCACTTCTATGGGCATATGTTTAGATGTGTCTATTTTATTATCAATATGTTCTCAGTAAGCTATATGGGAGTGCCGCCTAACCTAACATTGATTTTTTTGTCTCATACCACTTAATTCATCATAATTTAAGAGAGGTATTTAGAATATAACTTTTTGTGTGTGTGTGTGTAAGATTAGCCCTGAGCTAACATCTGCCACCAATCCTCATCTTTTTGCTGAGGAAGATTGGCCCTGAGCCAATATCCATGCCCGTCTTCCTCTATTTTATATGTGGGACACTTGCCACAGCATGGCTTGATAAGTGGTGCATAGGTCCAGGCCCAGGATCCAAACTGGCGAATCCTGGGCTGCCCAAGCAGAGCGCACAAACAACCGCTATGCCACCAGGCCAGCCCCTAGAATATAACATTTTTAAAAGAGTAAGTTACAAAATATATAACCAGTAATTTTCAGCCTTGTGATGCCTGAGAATAATCCAGAGAGCTTTTTATTACCATATAGATGTCCAGGTGTCACCCTGGACCTATTAAATCGGAGTAGCTGGGGCTGAGGCATCAGTGTCTTCTCAGATGGGCAAAGTGACTTGACTAAGGCCACATGGCTAGTGGGTAAGAGAGTTAAAAATCACAATGCCTATTTCCTTGCTTTCTTTCTAGTTCTTATTCATATTTTTTGAACTAAATTCCACTGAAGGGTGTATGTGTATGTGTGTGTTTAATTAATCTGTATCTGAATTTGTCTGCATAAAATGGTTTCCTTAATTTATAACAGCCTTTTTCCTTCCTGAAGAACTGTACCCAAAGGATGTGGAAATTCTCAGGCTGACAAAAGCAACTGAAGTAACCTCTCACCTCCTCCACTCCGTTATTTCCCCGGAAGGTGGAATGTCAGCTGCTGAAGTCACTTGCTTGGGTCCACAGGATCCACCCCCTCCTCCTTGAGCCACAGGCCTGCCCTTCTGTGCTGCCCCTCACTTCTTCACTCCTGGGCTCCATTTCCACGCGAATTGCCCTCCATCAGGCCCACTGGTCCAGAGGGAAGGCTCCCCTCCCCTCCTCCAGCCCCCACCTGCCTGAGCATTCAGCTCAGGGGAGGGGCCTGGGGGTGCATCTGGGAACTGAGTAGTTCATCCCCCACCTGGGAGCCTCAGAGAGCAGAGCAGTGGGTGGGCTGCCCCGGGAGGTCTGCCCCTACCCCCTGTCTCTTCTGGGATACCAATCCCAGAGCTTTGTAGACAATATTTTCATGCCATTTTTTTATAGTTGGAAAGCAAAACAATCCTCAGTGAAACAGGATCTGTATGAACTAGATCATGAAAAAGAGAATTCCCATTATGAGGCACTGCCACTCAGGAAAATGCAATATGACGCAGAGGTTAAGCCGAGCTCAGAGGTGGCATTTCTGGCTTTGAATCCTGGTGCCTCTTCTCAATCGGCTTGTGACTCTGACAAGTTGTTATCTGTGCTACAGAAATTGGGTTAAATAAAGGGAAATAAAAATGGCTACCTCACAGGTAATTTGAAGATTGTCTTGAAGATTAAATTAAATAATCTGATTAAAATGCTTCTCACAGCATCAAAAGATGTTAACTAGTATCATTAACTTACACTATTAAAGTATAATTTACAGAAGCTTTCATATGCTTTACATTTTAATACATATTACAATATAAGCCTTTAGAAGACAATGTCTTTACCTACTGACACCTGCTTCTCTATTTGTGTTTTGCTTGTAGCCCTGGAGAGGAAAATATCCATGAGGCAAAGCAGAGAGGAGCTGATAAAGCGAGGGGTCTTGAAGGAAATCTATGATAAAGGTAAGGAGGACTGCCCCACCCTCCATGGGCCGGGAAGCCGTGCGTGGAAACTGTGTGTATTTCCTGGAGTTAGATTCAGTTTTTTGCATCGTTTTATCCAAGTTTGAACCTTCAAAACTCCAGACAATCCTGGAGAGACAAGAGCACGTAACAGATAGTGCTAAAGCTATCAGTATCACATAAGAGGAGAGAAAAATGATGTGGCTCCAGGAATGATGTAGGTGGTGGTGGGAGCCTGTCGGTGTTCGAGTACACACAGCTGGGGGGAATTTAACTGCTTAGCTCTTTCAGGCACTGGGGGTTCCCAAGACAAATGTTAAAAATCCACAAGCATCTAGAATTTCCCTAACAGATTTTTTTTTTTTTTTTTGGCAGTCCGTCTACCCATGATAGGAGAAATCAGAGTGGGGAAAACTATAACATATAACTGCACACAAAGGATATTTCAAATGATAATATTTACAGAGATTCAGATGCTCTGTGAGGGTGTCCACAAGTGTTTGCCCATGAATACTGTGTGTCTTTTGCTTATTGAATTACTGCCTTTGAATATGAATGTGTAAGTGGTTTACACAGTATATTAAATCGTCTTCACTCCTCTTTTCGAAGAGCTTTGCTATTTTAAATTGTACTCGCTCTCTCCGTTTCCCCTGAGAACCACGCTCTCCCTGGTAAGGCTTTGAGTGAAATGACGGAGTGCTGCTCCCAGCGTTGTCACAGTCATCAAGAGTCATTGTCTCTTTCAGGTCTTCACGTTGTTTGGGGCTGGATTTGGTGGGCCAGATTATTAAATCCCGTATTCTACTTTAAAGCTCCACCCTGATAGTCCCAGTGACCCTGTAATTCCAACAGCACAGTCCGTTCGCCATGTTTGTTTGTGTAGGTCTTCCACAGGCGCAGTTTCTGTTCCAGTTCAAAAAGGCAGGCTGTTTCTAGCCTCACAGCTTCTCTCTGATTCCACTCTTGCAACGTGAGTTGGTCCTTATTTCTCTGGTACCTTTCGCCTCATCCCTTCCTGTCATGGGGCCTCCTGATGGCACTTTTGGAGAATTTTCTCTTAGCACCAATTGCCACCCTGAAATGCTGCAGGTAGAGCTGGGACGCGCTCGTGCTGCCCTTGTGGCAAGGGCTGCTGGAAGCAGGTGTGAAGCTCTGCCGTTTCAGATGACCTTCTGTAATTATCAGAGCCTCCTCCGGCCAAGGGACCCATGTGGCGAGCCCCTTGATCCTTCCACTTCTGCAGAAGGCCGTACTGAAATACAACTTCTTTGGTGGGTTGAGCTTTCCAGGGAAAAAGACTTCATAATGTTGTCACTTTTCTCCAATGTCTTGCTTTCTGTACAACCCCCTCAAACCCCTTCTCTTGTCAACCTTAAGTCTCATGCCTCGTCACAAGCTCCTTTCTTCATATTCGCTCCCAGGAGGTGTCTGACATTACATCATGAGCATGCAAGTGTTTAAATAAATACTACTGTCACAGCTAAAGCCTGTTCAGATGCAGTTAAATAATCCTTCCCCTCCCCCTTTCTTCCTACAACCTTTATATTGCACTCTGTGGAACTTCAGAAATACTCTAGAGAATACATTTTACTCTCTCGTTTGTTATTTCCATGACACCTGGTAGCTGGGTTAAGGTCAGTATTGCCTAACTAACTTCCTGACTTAATCAAAGAAGTGATAGACTGTTAGAACAAAAGCCTCATGTCACAGAGAAAGAAACAAGGGGCCACTGAGGCTGGGGCCTGCCAGCACCACGCCAGCATTGGGAGTCCCCGAGAGTGAGCGCTATGTCCTGTTCACAGGTGTTTCATGGCGTGCACTCAGTAACTGGCTGTAAAGAAAGGGACCAGTCTAGCCTCCTCCTGTCAGCACAACTTCCTGTTTTATTTTTGTCTGTGCACTTATCACTGTCTCCTCTCTCCTCTTTGGTTGTTGGCTGGCTTTCATCACTAGCACCAAACACCAGGAGAACACGGACCTCACAGACGTACTGCCAGATGCCCCAAGCCTCAGATAACGCCTGAGATAGATAAGGCCCCCAAGAATATTTACTGTTGGGTGACCGGAAAAGGAGAAGAAAAGAGGGACTAAAAGTAGAAGTCCGTTGCACATAGTGCATGTAGAAGTTTGTATTTGCTGTGGGTTTTTCTGATAAAAGCATCCATTTTGTGTCACTGTGGATATTAATTGTATTACCTCCTATTATATTTTAACAGTTGTTAGGAACGTGAGCCCTGGAATCATATTACTTGGATTCGATTCAGTTCCACTACTGCCTCCTGACTAGCAGTGCAACTTTAGTCAAGTTGGTTAACGTCTCTCTGCTTCTATTTCTGTATCTGAAAGTATGGATAATATTGTAGTAAGGAGGGTTACATGAGCTAACATACGTGGGTTAATTTGCTAGGGCTGCAGTGAGAAAATACCACAGGCTGAGTGGCTCAAACCACAGAAATTTCTTTCCTCACAGTTCTGGAGGCTGGAAGTCCAAGATCAAGGTACGAGCAGGGCTGGCTTCTGTGAGGCCTCTCTCTTTGGCTTGTAGTTGGCGGCCTTCTCGCTGTGTCCTCTCATGGCCTTTTCTCTGTGCAGGCTCGCTCCTGGTTTCTCTTCCTCTTCTTAGAAGGACCTCACTCTTACTGGATCAGGGTCCCTGCTTATGACCTCTTTCAAAGCCCTCTCTCCAGATACAGTCACGCTGGGGGTTTGGGCTTCAACATAGGAATTTGTGGGGGGGATGGTTGTGACACAGTTCAGTCCATAATAGCATGTAAAGTAGAATAGTGACTGTCATCCCGTAAATTCTCAAGAAGTCATTAACATACCATTTGTAGTAGCAGTCTTGTCATCATCGTCTTCATCATCCTTTACATTTTTTGAAACCCTTTGCGTGCCTTACCGTAGGTCAGCAGGCCCAAGATTTAGGAAAGGACATCATTGTCCCTTTATATCTGAGGTGCAGCGATCTGCAGCCCCCTAAAATGGTCTTACACATTTGGGTGGCCAGCAAAAACCCAGCCCGCTGGCCTGACTCAAGTCTCTTCTCACACCGTCATCCCGCCTCCCCTTAGCCTCTAAACGTGTTGTTTTCCTGTCGCTCCTTCTTCCCTTTCTACCACACCGTTCACCCTGCTGTCTCTGGAATTCTGGTGGGTAAAACAAATAAAATTTTATTGCCACAACCTGAGCGAGCAGCAAGTGGCAAAGAGAGTTTTAATCGTTCGTTTTTCCGGTTGTTTGTTTCCAAGATAAATCTCATCGACTTGGAGGGATTGTTCCATGTTGCCTGACTGGCAGTTACTCATTTTGCATCGCCTCCTGTGTTGTGTAACACCCATGACTCTAGTCTCCTGGCAGCAAAATAGTTTCCCCCCAGAGATGCGTGGTCCCTGACAGCTGCCGTCGGCCAGCGTGCAGCCTGCGAGGGCCGGCCTCTGGTACTCTGCGGTTATACTGTTTTGCCCACGATATTGCTCATGTGGCGGAAAGCGTTTATCTTTAGTAGGAAAGCTTTTCTCTTCAAACTTCTTTGCGTTATTGATTTTGCTTAGTAATGCCCCACTTGTTCACAGATTGTATAAAAATAAACTGTAGTGATTTGAGATTTGTAGCTATTTGGTTAGGGGAACTCAGAATTAATGAGGTTTTATTACTCGAACAGTTCTCCTCAAAATTCTTCGTGTTTTTGTTAAAGCAGGTTAAAATCCCAAACTGATGAATAAATTCAGATCAGGCAAAATGAGAGCCTAGATCGAAGAGGGGAAATTATCTCAAATCTCTACAGGAATTAGCTCGGGAATCCTTCGTACAACAGAATATGTTAGAAATAAAAACCATCAGCTGCTCGCTGGCTTGTGTTTTTTATTGGCTTCCATCTAGAATCACAGAGTCCGGAAGGAACTTTAGATAAAAGTTTAACCATGAGGGAAAACTGTTTGATCTCTGGATATATTGAGGCCATGGAAGAGCATGGCAAACTTTGAAACTACATAGGAAGAAATTTTTAAATTACATTGATCCTGGTACACGAGGGACATAAAATTGTAAATCATTTTTCTCCCGTTTTCCACAATCTGGTCATCACAGTTGTGTGAAGAACACAGGGTAAACATTAAGATGAGCCGTTGTCACCCTAAAGAGTAAAAACCTTGAACCAACTCATGGTGGAAAACAATCTGTGATTTGATAGTTTATTTTTAATTGTTTATTCCCCCATCTCATGGCCTCTTTGTTTGAATTAGAACTTAAGGGTTCTCCTTGACTCCTGAACGTTCGTTCGTTCGTTCATTCAACGAGTTGGTCCCGAGCACCCCCTTTGTGCCAGGCGGGCCCCTAGGTGTTGAGCTACAGAGATAACCACGAGAGCAAAATCCTCACCTTTTCAGAGGCTGCCTTCTACTAAAGGCAACAGGAAATAATTAATGAGCATGAGATCAGTTGTCAAGGAATGATAAGCACTATGAAGAAAGACAAAGCGGCCGGGTAGAAAGGTGAAGTCAGGGGGAGTGGTGATTTTAGATAAATGCCATCATGGAGAACCTCTGGAGGAGGTGATACTTGCACAGAAACCTAAATGAAGTGCTCGGTGGCTGAAAAGGGGGCATTGGTCCTACTTTTATAGTCAAGTGCCACATAGTGACGTTTTGGTCAAAGATGGGCCACATATACAACAGTGGTCCCATAAGATCAGTACCATGGACCCCAGGTGTGGAGCGGGCTATACCATCTAGGTGCGTGCAAGTACACTCCATGCTGTTCACGCAACGACAAAATCGCTGAACGACACATTTCTTAGAATGTATCCCCATCGTTAAGCGATGCATGACTCTACTTCAACTTGTAACCTAATTCATGAGCTCTTAAGTTCATTAAATTGATTCAATATGTTCCTTTTAAATTACAGCCTCTGTGTTGCATTTGCCTCTCTCTCGGTTCTCGTTAAGTCAGAGCACATCACCCCTTACTCAGAGCCTGCGGTGGCTCCCATGGCACTCAGAGAA